CTTCACCGAGTTGAAATCCCTAATATATACATTTATCTGAGAACAGGTGAATAGAATACACATTAATTGGTGATATTGTGTTGACGAGTTATTGAGTTGCATATAAACCTTCAATTACAATTTACAAAAGATCATATAGTCAATTGGAAGCGTCATGTATATGAAACGTTGAATAATAAGGGAATTTAGAAACTTTAGAGTGTTTACATTCGTAGTTTAGTCCGTGAATTGGTGAACCATTATATAACTGTCTTGATCATGAGAAAACAATATATTGCGTCAGTATTGCTAACACTTGGACTATTTTGATTATGTATTTGCTTCACCTTATTTTTGCAAAATATTTCACTTACTTTGTTAATGACAAACAGGCAAAGTTTTTAATATACGACATCACTTATGAACTATTGTTAAATCAATTTGTATTGAATATATAAATGTTGTGTTTGATATTGAAAATAAAAGTAGATTTCTGGAAAATGGACAAAGAAATACATTTTTCATAAACACATACTGACCATTTAGTACATTTCCCCTATACATTTAAATTTAGGAACAATAATGAAATACTAGTGTTTACAATCTTATTCAGTCAGCGCTAGACTATACAATAACATACGTTTTTTTTAAATACGCAACCAATACAATCAATTATTTTTATAGAAATATTATCAAACAAATTAAATTCAACATAGACATCTTCCTTATATTTCCTCATGTACATGGGAGTCTAGAATTTTAGAATGTCGACAAAACGACTTTCTTTTTTTCTTCTCACTCCTATAACGCTTATAAGAAAGACCTCTAATTAGCCTTCTAGAAATCCTTCTACAAACTGGTTCTTCCTCTTCGTCCCATGGTAATAGATAAGTCTCAATGTTTTTGTCTGATTTCTTAGGTGGACAAAAGTAAAATGGATGAAGACAAAAGATGTTACTATTATGCGACAAAATATTCCAGGCCTCATCTTCATCCGTATCATAAAATACCTCTTCATATGATATGATAAGAAATTCGTTTGTACGCTTTGAAAATTCATCAATCAGTCGTGCACACTGATGTGTTTTTAATGTGCAAGGCAAATGATGTGAAAATATACAAATAATGTACTCTGTATTCCGTCCACATGATTGATAGAATTGATACTTCATTCTTTCAAGGAACTTTATATCGTTTGTATAATGATATTCGTTAGAAGAAATCAAACCCGTATCTTTTTTAATGTTTCCCATCGGATCAAGTAATCTTGCTTCGCCATGCATGTTTGGTTCTTGAAGGTTCAACAAAACGGCAATTCTATTGAAATACAAACTATAATTTTCATACATGCGTATATCGGTATCTTTTTTGGCCAATAATTGTTCCACTTGATTCCTTGGTTCGACAATGACTTGGAAGTCTTCACTAATGATTTCTCTCAAAGAAACAATTGTGGCAGCTACAAACTGTTTTTGTATGAATGGTACTTTTCGACCCAGTAATGGCAGTGTGTTTCTCCCAAAATCTCTAAGTAATCTCATTAATATTGCAACTGATTCAACTTTCACCCTTCCATGTAGCAATTCTTCTCTTATCTTTATTTTATTCGTGTACATAGTGTGAGCGTCGCGAAAAACTTATACAGTCTACCAAATTAAATACATAATAAACGGGAATTTTAAAACGCGTAAACTAATGAAATAGTTAGAAAAATCTTTTAAATTTCCAATGACGAAATGACAAAAATAGAAATGTGTAAATAACCACTTCGGATCATCATTATCAAATTATCAACATTTAAAAATAAGTTCGATTTTATCTTTTTTTTCTACATATCAAAATGATGAATAGAAGAAATAAGCCCATACATATCTTATTTTCGTTTTTGTTAGTATAGATAGAGACAAGGAACGACTACCTAATTTGAATTATTTGTAGTATCGATGTATCGTGAATTTGCTTTCGATAACTGTGTCATTTTAGTATGTCGAAGAGTTAATTGTTATCCTGTTGTCAAATTAGAGTAAACATTCTATATCTATCATGTTTATTGCATTGATCATTAAACAAAACGTAACGTAAGGGTAATCATTAAAAAGAGAATAATTATAGACCTGTTTACAAGAAGAGAAGCATTGGGATGTAGCAAACTATTTTTAGAAAAAATAAACGTTTACATTAGTAATGCATTTTAACGATTAGAAAATATCTATTAAAACGTGCTGTGCTTTATCTTTGTGTGAGGTAAGTGGTAATCCTGTTGTTAAATCATTGTGTAAAATTCTGTTAGTTCTGCATATATATTTAAGCAAATGTTTCTATAGCCATAGAAAGTAATTTCAGAATTGCTCAATTGGAAAGAAGCATGTGAAACATGCAATTTTAATTACTGAATAATCTCCAATTTACAAATGTTGTTAAATGACTTAATGAAAACGTGTTTGCTATAAATGCTTTCTATGCCAAAATGTAAATTACATGTAGTTAGTGAATTTGCTACTTCGGTGTATTTAAAAGTGTGTTTCTTTTACTCAAACTAACTAGACACTTTCGCAAGAAAGTATGAAAGCCACTAATGAATACGTAGTTACACAAAGTACTGATACTTCATTTATCTAAATGAGGGTTGGTGCTGTCTGATACAAATAGCTGACACCGTTTTACTTGAAAAAATAATTTAATTATCGAAACAGACACTTATTTAATGGTTATTTATTATAACATGTATAAGCTTATAATTTGCATAAACATTTTTTTATTGTATGATTTGTTCCAACATTACCTGTCTGTTCAGTAAAAACAAATACTGGGTGCGCCAAATGTCTTTGGTTAACAATTATAGAAAAGGGGAAATGTAAATAATGTAACTAAGCAATTCACGTCACATCAGATCATTTGTGCTGTACAATTTGTACGCAACTCAATATTTAACGAAATTCCAGTAGCTGAATTCGAAAAAAAACTATGTTGTTATGAATGAATACATAAGCATTTACTAATTGATCTATAAAAGACCGTTAATGTCTGGCAATTAGCTATTGTTACTGTTTATAAAATGAATTATTCTAAACACTAAGGTTGTCGTCTCCTCAAGCAAAGATTGCCATAGCCCTATTTAGGACATTTTTTTGAAATTTTCATTGTTCATGCCCATCAACTATGTATTTGGTTTAACCCTATTACTGTTTTGATGCCAGCGCCACTAATGCGTCTTTTCAAGACAAAAAAGGGCGTCGGGCGTATCAAAAAAATAATCTTTGTATCTATGAGGAGGCTATAATTCTTAACCCAAAAACAAAAGAATCACAACACAGCAAACATTAGTTAAATGATAATAAATAGATAAGTATTTAAAAGTGAGAATATCTTACTTGACCTTCATCTAGAAATTGACAGTGAAGAACAAAACCTGACGACAAAAGGGAAGATTTCACTTTCCCAAATTGTGAAATTTTAATTTATATGAAGCAACATTCCAGCGGCGCCTGCATATAGAGTATTATCATTAATGTAAATACGATATTCAAGAGCTTGCTTTTTTCTATCATGGATCCATTAAACAAGGTGTTTAAAGTGGCAGAATTCAAGCCATCCTTTCGAAAGTTGTCGAGACGCCATAACAAGTGAGTTGACCCTTAAGGACAATCTGTGTCACAGAGGACTATGGATAGATTCCGATTGTCATGCTATAATTCCGTCCTCTTTCTTTTCTCGATTGTGACGCAACCGAATGAGACTTATCAGTGGATTTGTACATGCTTGCGCCTCATGTGACGCAAGAACTGCCTTACCCTTTCTGGAGATGACCATCGATTTTTGTTTGGGTTTGTGTTGCTAAGGCTTTAGTTTTCAATGTAGTGTTTTATGAACTTGTTCGTCTTTTTGTCGTTTTTGTTTATTCATGGTGTTTCGAGTCTTTTGTCGACTTATTGGTTTATATCTTATGGTTCTTTGTTTTAACAAAACCATTTTAGACTGATTCTTAAAGACATCTGTGTGTAAAATAGAATTACAGTGAAAAGAGGAATACTAAGTCGTATATAGCTTGACCTTCATACAAATGTTTATTACGGCATGTGCATTCTGTATGAATGTAGCATGTAACAAATTTTGGATTTTCAATCTGTTTGGTCTAAGGGATCCCTAAAGAGCATTAAATGTCAAAATGCGTATCTAGTGCAGCACAATTAGTACGGTTAATGTTATTGTAAAACATATTAAAAAATCTGCCGTTTAGTAAATACACAAGACTTGCTACATAAGTACATAATTGTGAATAGAACGGAATACCATCCGGCATAAAAAGGAAAACAAATCAATTTTGTAAGAAAAATAATGAGAGAGGGAAAACTAAAAGATACAGGAATTAAAAAAAAATCTGAAACAATGTTAAACGCAATCGACCATTTACCAATTTTAAAGCCTCTTTTTCTCTCACACAACCGACAAATTGGTGTTTCACATATTTACAATGTTTTTGAAACTGCAATTACTTTCTGTGGCTATACAAGATTCAATCAAACCAATCAATACAGATTCAGCATATTTTTGTTATTTTTATATTCCTCCTCTTTTTTGTTTTAATTCGAGTTATAGATGTTGTTCAAGTGGTATACGTGAATTTATATATAGTACGAAATACAGCATGAACATTATGTGTCGTTTTGTTTCAATGGGCAAATATAATTGGTGACTGCGCTTTTTTACTGTAAAAATATTTATGAATAAGTATTGCCAATGTCATTTATGTCATTTGTCATAAAGCAATAGTGCAGTCAGCAAAAAAAGAATTAAAAATTTTAAGAGAGAATTTAATTTGATTTTTCTTATTTTTTTTTTTTTTTTTTTTTTTTCGGAAAGAAATGTCCACAATAAACTGCAAATGTTACTTAATATAATGTTGATGAACATGCAGGGCCTCATTATTATCAGCCTCCTTTACAGAAAGAATTTCACAGATGTGTTATCTTTGTTCATTTAATTTGTAACACAAATTTTCGCCAAAAAATAATGTCTAAAACTATTATTCAATATGTTATAACATAGAAACAGAAAATACAAACACATTTGTTAATTCTTACTTTTTGTCAATCTGAATAAGACACACATAATTTTTAAAAGCTATTTTTATATCATAAAACACATTGTGTGAAACTTGCATATTTTCGTAATCAGTCTCGCAATGAAAACGATTTAAACCATAAAATCAAATTTGATTACTGTATTCAAAATATATGCATTTTGTTAACAGAATGCTCACAATTTAGATTCATTATGAAAATTCTTCCAACGCAAAAAAATAATCATCACTATTACATGAAATAATCAATAAGATAGAAATTGAAAGCATTGTAAACTGGAGATTATGTACAATTTTGTGTTATTCAAGATTAGGTACCATCTTTCTTTTATAAAATAAAATGAATTTCAAAGTTTCATGTTAATTATCTATCCAGGATGTCAGGTATTTTGCTAATAAGCGATATGCAATACCAAATTCAGTTAATAAATTGTCGTTTTTCAGATCCACATACTCCACAAAAACCCACTGTCGTCTGATGTGGAGTTCCATTTCTGTCTCTGACTACGATAATCCTTGCACCTCTAGTTGGTGTATTTCTTCTGCATCTCAAACAGTAAATAGCCATTTTATAGTTGAATCTAAAACCGAAAGTGAAAATCGTACAATTGTTAAAAACATAGGTTGAAATACATCACTGTGTCTAAACTACTACGGCAAACAAGTTTGGATTTGATAGTTTCTATAGTCTGTAGACGGTAACCAACCACTTTTATCCATACAAACATTAGGATTGCTTTACTGATTTGTTATTTGTATAACATTATAGAAAATAAATACACATATTACTACTTTCAAATGCGGTGTTTAATATTTTCTACTAACGTTCTATATTAATGAATAAAGAATAAAAATGCACGACAAAAATGTATGGGTTTGAGCATCTTGAAAAAGGCAAATTAAAGTAGGTAAATCTTACGCACGAAATGTTTGCAAAGTCTAGTTTTCATTTTATACCAAACACAATTATTTTAGTTTTGGTATATTTATAAATACATGTAGTATATATAACATCTATGATAATTAAGTTCAAAAGAGAACGACAAATTGGCATTATACTGTCATCAGCTTGGCCTCAGTATTTGGTTGGTAGTTTTTAACTTTCAAATAACTTAACAAATAGTTTGAAAGTCGTAGTTACAACATAGGCTCTTTTAATTGGCCTTGTATAACAATTACATGTTGATGAACTAGACATAAAGGTGAATACAATTTGAAAATCTTATTATTATTGTGAAACTAGTTACAAACAAGAGTTTTTGTGATTCCAATTAACAGAACTCATGCTAAGTGTTATAAATTAATTTACTTATGATTATAAGATTAAGATTTTAATCCAGAAGGAAGAACGACTTATTAGATAAGGGTAAAATATGTCTGCAAATATATGAAGAGTATAGCTACCATTAAAACATGGAATATTACATGGAAAATTACGGATGCATATTTTTATGTTAATGACTATCCAAATATTCGCATAATGAATGATCAAACTACTATAAATCCGTACAATAATAATGCCCATTAGGATATTATGAATGATAAATTTGTGCAATTCTATTTAAACTATCAAAACAACTCGAAGACTATAAATCTTGCAGTACTGAGCTACATTTTTTTTTCATTTAGTAACGATGAACATAAAAGCAAGTAAGTATTGTTAAAAAGCATTGATTACAAAAAAGACAATTTATAAAAGTCATAACCCAAGAATATCAGTCCTGTACAACAACCTGTACTACTAGTCAATCTTTATTTTTCAACAGGTATAACCTTGAGATATACACAATTATGTGGTAAAAAAATATATGTTATCATCAACTTAGCCTCCCATACCATAATTACATTTAAACTAAATTACTATTTTGAAGTTGCAAAAATGGATTTTAGTAAATATTGAAAGTGAAAGTACATTTTCTGAAAACCATTTTGCATGAATTTGAATAAACAGTATACAGGTACATATTTACGATTTTTATTATGTGCACTCAGTAAAATAGAAGTCTGTGTAATCTGTTGAAATTAGTATAAAATATACCTTTACATAACTTTATATACATATTGAAATTCCTAACTGGTAATATCATTAAATTCAGTTCAATTGGCACATTGTTTTTTTAATTCCCCAAATTGCAGTCGTTGAACTGCTATATGGTCCTTACATCATAATAATTGTATTGTATTCAGCGGCAGTATTCAGCAGTTCATGACGATTTACGTGTGTCTTAGCATGTTATCAGCAGTAACGAGTTTAACATTGTGGGTTTCTGGCGTCTTTATACCACCGTACGGTCATTTGATGACTGCTTTACTAAAACGACATGTTTGGAAGCAGGAAATAACGATGGTTGACATGGGAATAACTTTTATAAATTAAGGTGCCAGTATTTTATTGATGTTTAAATCACGTAAGCTATTAGGAAGAGAAATTCATGGTAACACACAAAGCATCAATATAGTTTTATAATGTATAATGTATAATGTTTTATAGAAAGTCTTAAGAAAGTTCGCTACTCTGTATCAAAATAAAAAGCTTTTTAAAATACTGTTATAAATTGATAGTATATGAATAAAGAAACTAAAAAAAACAGAAAAAAATAAGGGTCCGTGTGCTTGTTTTCGAGATATAATCCATTGAAAATTTGGCGGGAAATAATTCTCTCTAGACTTTTCATACATTTAACATTGGCACCTTTTTTCTTTCGAAAACGATGAAAAAATAACAAGGATTTTATAAGACTTCCAAAGATGACATTTTAAACTGTTTGCAATCATTTTTTTGGAAAGAAAAGTAGGGGTTAGTGTGCAAAATTTTTAATAGCACTACATGGATAAAACAAGAGGATTCCGAATAACTGGCAAAAATTCAAAAACAAGAGGAGCGAACATCCTTAAATGAACCAAACCAAATATCTGTATGAAGATAAAGGGAGCTCATCTTTGTAAAGGTCACGCCAGGTAGGACCTGCGAGAGTTTTTAGTGTGCTCATGAAGACATACTGTTATTTGAACCCCTTTTTGATCGCAAACGAAATTGACATTCATGTTACTATTTCTTATATGGTTTGCGTGCTGTTTGGTCACGATCGTACCTGATTAAATTAACATAAACGTCATCGTTTACCTGAAAAAAAAATTTAAAAAATTAATATGTTCAACAAATAATTGATTATTAAAGTCTTTAATTTGTAAGTAAATTGCTGATATTAAAGATACATGTGTATTGATACAGTAAAATATATGTTTATGTACACAATGGACTTTGTAAAAAAAAAACATTCAATTGGTCCAATGGACCATCAAGTTGTTTTTTGATCGTTTATTCATTCAAATATGTAAATGTCAAGTTAAATTCGACAATCAATTAATTATAATTGAAATTAAAATCAGTTACAATGAATGAAACCTCAAATACAACAATGTATTATTTCCTCATTGTCTATCAAATAACATCACTGAGATCAATTACTATATCAACTACATGATTAAAATCAGTTACAATAAATGAAACCTCAAATAAAACAATGTATTATGTCCTCATTGTCTATCAAATCCCATCACTGAGATCAAGTACAATATCAACAACAGAAATGTATCAGAACTTTTTATAACTACACAAATCATAATACAGTTGTTTGGAAATGAATCAATTCTTTTTTGCCATCTTATTTATAGTTCATGAAAAATTCCCTTTGCAAAAATGTTGCATAAAACCTGTAACCGTAAATTTTATCATTATAGTTTAAACTGTGAAATTAAATCTGTGTGAAGCTGTTTTAAAGCCTTTTTTTCGTGTCAAAGGTTCATTTATCTGATTTTGATCACGTGACCGATTTAACCATTTTTGTTCCTCCTTTTCTTTTTTCTTGATATGTAGTTATTCTCTTCAAAAAATTATTTGTTTATACCCCCTTAGATTTGTTTTTTTTTTCTTGTGGTTGTTTAATGTCGTTGTATACAAATATATTCATATTTTATATTAAACGCTGAAGTGTCCTGCTGATCTTGCTGGATGTCTCTAAGAAAATACAGCAAATTTTGTTATTATATGTCTTAAATTTCAAAGGAATTTTCTATATGTTTCTTTGAACACATTCATATATCCAGCACACACTTTCTAATTGAACTGTGTAGAAAATTTATCAATAAGTCCTGAACACATATGCCCAGATTCGTTGAATGAAATATAGTAATAATATGATAAATTTGTTTTCCCCCCAAATATTTAAATGAAATTGTATTTCACTTGTTTTAAATAATCAGTGTTCTACCTTACGTCCATTTTTTCAAACGACAAATGGTCAACCATTTTTTTCGTTGAACTTTTTCGTCAGTCTAGCTTCGTAATGAGTTGTCACTTTTCACAGGTTTGGCAGAAATATTAATCGTTTCAAAAAAATAGTGGAGGTATCTTCTACTCTTTCAGAATCAGTAGTTTATGAAATTACCATCAATATTTAAATATCAAAATAAAGAAGCACAGACACACTTGCAATAAGTCATGTGCATGTTAAAATGTATAGATATTGACATGTGTCGTTTTGCAGAGCTCATATGCGTGCTATATTATTTATCGGGTGACATAGTTTAGGTAAAAATAATACTGTTATACTTAAACTAGAGATGAGAGAGCATTACACCAATTTCTTAACAATTGTTTTATCAGGGAAAATGACAACTCTGGAAACAAGACGACGAACATATTGTCGTTATTTCAGTAATATGTCAGAATAGCATACGGAGGTGATAAGATAGTATGAAAAGGTGGCTCCATTCCATAGTATTGTCTTTTTAGTATACGACTTTATCGTCGTAAGATAGTTATATGACAGAATATTATGAAAAAGTTGCTCCATCTTGTTGCAATATAGTCCCCTTTTCTTAGTTTGCTTTTGGCATCACTAAATGCAGCTACACAATGGTTTATGTTTACCCTGAGCAACACTAGTGAACAATGAACTGCTCCCCAATCATGAGCACATGCGTGTATACTAAGTTTTGTTCAATATGGTTCCGTTTTGGTTTTACTTTAAATTTTGGGAAGATTGCAACAAATTTAGTGTTGATGAAGTTTGAAACATTCTTCTTATAAATCATGATAATTCTATCTTAACAAACGCGATACTTAAAATGGCATTTTGCTATCTTTAATAAACAAAGAGTAATAATGACCCTTGTAATACGCGTGAGAAAATTATGGTTGATAAAAACACCTACGTTATCTTATTTGTCAACAGAGACAAACTGATCGTCAAAACATGTAGCCTAGGTTAGTCTTTTTTCACTCCAGATGTTGTTTCAGTATGATATACAGTGTAGTTACGATAGAATATGGGTTTTTTAGGGGGAGGAAGGTGTAATCATATCCCCTCTTAGGGATTTTTGGTTGAATGTGTCAATTGTGACATTTCATATTGTGACTGTTGCCCTATAATTTACATTAGTTGTGTAATACAACGATCGTTCAGTCATTTGCATATTGTATATGCTATACATCAACACACTGCCATTACTGAATTACCAGGTTAAACATGAATGCGCGCTCTCGACCCTCCACCTTACCTTGGATGTCATGTAACAG